TAATTTCCCGGATGAAATCGTAGTTGTCAGTCTTGTTATTTTCATGTTTTTGGCAGCGGATGGCCCCAGGCTGATATTCGTCCCAAGCGAACCAGAACTTCGTGAGTTTATAAAGAAAAAATCGTGAGGTATCCATGCACAAACCAGTTGACCATATTACAAGTTTTCCTTTCCTTATCCAGTGGCTCAACTACCATAGAGACTGGTTGTACCAATTCCACGGTCCCCAACCCATGGGGGCCCACTTTAGTTCACGGGTCCCAATTCATCTAGCCACTCTGAGCCACTGTCCTTTTCAATACATAAGAATAATTTTTCGAATTCCATGTAAAAGCTTAACCAGATATGTATCTATCGATAGCGCTATCTCAAAAGCTACCAATAATGATGTTTAAGGGCTTTTGCGAGAGCTACGTCATAATACGCATAGTTTTGGTGGAATTACAGAAACAACATACGTCTGATTGAAAATTGGAATGGCTCAAATTGTTGCCAACAGTGTCCCCGATGCACATAGACAGCTCAGAAACCCCTTTACAATCCCTTTAATGTAATACTAAATTCTAGAGGTTTCTGAACCTAAACGTCCGAGAAATTCATCATATGATGAGAACTGTAAATGTCAGGCTTCGCCGATGAAACATCAAAATTTAATTTATCTGCTAACGGGTGGGGGGTGCAATCCATTTATTCGTGAAGATATGGGACTTGAAGATACAGACAGCCAAAAGAAAGATGCGCAATACGTAGTGATTGTCCAGTTTAAAACTGGACATTCAAATAGCCACAGATTTATCCAGGTCACTGTCAGTATGATCAATCAGCTGACCTTACCTAATTATGTCAAGTCATGTCCGTCCGTATTGTAAATCAAGTTTGACGAATTCCTTTGAACTTGTACTATTATACTCTCTGTTAGAAAGATAACCTGGATTTTATTGATGACAGACATTAGTCAGTAATAGTGTTCACATCTCATCGACGAAATATAAGCCTTCGAATCCTTGTGTGTTCAGATTTATCTGCGTTTCAAAGTTTAAATGACGACGACTCGTCTTTTCCTGCCATTTATAGAACAGGCAAACATGTATATGATTGAAAGTAAAAGTCCTAGCTTGATGTTTTTTGAAGGAATTATGCGATTTTCGTACAATCATCTTCTATTGAGTTGTGTTTTTTCAAATATCGGAAAATATGAGCAAAATTTATTTTCCATTTATGAATGATGGAGTCATCAAATGTACTATGGACTTTTGTTTAGGTTACATAGGGCGATAGTACAGAAAGTTCATTATAATAAATACGTAGTATTCCATCAAAAGCACAACATAAATTGGGGCATATCCAAAAAATAGTATGAAATTTTGTGTTTTTCCTTACCAAAATTACTCTTGATAAACTTTTAACTCTTTAGATTGTTAACTTTCTCCTTTGCTCAATATTCAGATCCAGCAACTTAAAGGGACAGTTTCGCTGTGTGTTTGGCCAATCGTACCTTAGTCTCAAAAACGGGAATGTTTGTAGCTAAGCTAAGCATTAATAGCATTCACAGCTCACCGCCGAAATTTGAGCTTTCAAGTGTGTCTAAAATTGTATGCTTTAGAAAGTTGCAAAGTCGACTCTTCTTTTCTTGAGAATTCCTAGTTTAATATACTTATGAAGAAATTGTGCGATTTTCGTACCCTTTTAGCACTTCTGAAGACTATTTAAAAATATTCAAAACCAAAATCAACCTCCAAAAATGGCAAATCTGTCCTTTTAACTTAAACCACTATTTTGTATAGTCAGATGAGCGACTGAGGTCCGAGAAATGCATTAACATATTTATATAAAGAAAAAAACATAATAGTTATGTAATGTTTTTATTATTATTCAAAATGCTCAAAGAATAACATCTCAGGTTTCGTGTAAAGTGAATTTAATTACAATATTTATGTTATATAAAGACATAAGAGTTATGTAATGTTATTCGGATATATTATGTTATAAGGACATAAATACTGTTTAACATAATAATGATAAAATATGTCATGTTTCTAACATCTTTATTGTAATCTTGTAAATTTAAAATTTCATATTCAACATATCCGTCTGTCTGTAATATGTTCAGGAAACGTCTTGAAATTAGCACACTAAACATAAAAAAGAACAGTCATACAGAAGTACATGACGTTCTTAAATTTCATAGAAAAAGGCACGGGCATAATTTACCACCATTGATATCACTACACCCGACAAAAGCAATCGATTTTTTGAATCTAAAAAATACAGAACCATGACGATGAAACACTTTTCAAAATACTTTCAGAACAACTATATTTTTTTGTCAAATTTGTGGAAAAATAAATCGAATGTATCTGCGGTCTGTGAAAGCCTCAGAATACACCCTTGAACACTGCTAAGGCCTGTGGCGATAAGGGAAGTTAGTTTTGCAAGTGTCGAAGGCTCAGAGAGCTATAACCAATATAACCAATGATGTTAACTAAACCTAGGATAATGAACTTGTTGAGGCTACTATTATGCATTATGTCATTATGTTATTATTAAAATTATGTTATTATTATAATTATTATGTTATTTATTTATATAATTTGAAGCAAGACAAAAATGGGTTTGTGTAGAAGTTAGCTTATACTTTTTAATTCAAATATACGTATATAAGTGAATTAAAACATACTTAGCTTATATAAGTAAATTCAAACATACTTAGCTTATATATGTAAACTCAGACATACTTAGCTAATATAAGTAAACTTAAACATACTTAGCTTATCTAAGTAGATTTAAACATACTTAGCTTATCTAAGTAGATTTAAACATACTTAGTTTATATAAGTAAATTCACTTATATAAGTAATTCAAACATACTTAGCTTACATAAGTAAATTTAAAACTACCTAGCATATATAAGTAAATTTAAACATACTTAGCTTATATAAGTAAATTTAAAACTACTTAGCTTATATAAGTAGATTTAAACATACTTACCTTATATAAGTAAATTCAAATATACTTAGCTTATATAAGTAAATTCAAACATACTTAGCTTATATAAGTAAATTTAAACATACTTAGCTTATATAAGTAAATTCAAATATACTTAGCTTATATAGGTCAATTCAAACATACTTAGCTTACATAAGCAAATTTAAACATACTTAGCTTATATAAGTAAATTCAAATATACCTAGCTTATATAGGTCCATTCAAACATACTTAGCTTATATAAGTAAATTTAAAATTACTTATCTTATATAAGTAAATTCAAACATACTTAGCTTATATAAGTAAATTCAAATATACTTAGCTTATATAAGTAAATTCAAACATACTTAGCTTATATAAGTAAATTTAAACATACTTAGCTTATATAAGTAAATTCAAATATACTTAGCTTATATAGGTCAATTCAAACATACTTAGCTTACATAAGCAAATTTAAACATACTTAGCTTATATAAGTAAATTCAAATATACCTAGCTTATATAGGTAAATTCAAACATACTTAGCTGATATAAGTAAATTTAAAATTACTTATCTTATATAAGTAAATTCAAACATACTTAGCTTATATAAGTAAATTCAAACATACTTAGCTTATATAGAAATGTTACAATGATATAAAGATTTCTAATTTGCATTATTAATAAGTGAATGGTAAACAATAAACAAAAACATAAACAAAGTAGAAAATAATGATATTTACAATGACGTCACAACCATAAACGAGTAAACAAAATATATTATAGCATGGTATCATATTACATAAGATTATATTTTAATTCATTCAAAACTTCATATTAAAATGAATTCACGTGATTGGTTTAGAACTCAAATCCATTTGAATACACTGTGTACAGTACAAGGCATACAAAAAAACGTATGGTTTTTACTTGGAAATAACAGACACAAACATAGTTCACAGCCATTTTGAATCATAACCTCGACTAAATAAGCCGACTTTTTTTTTTAAAAAAAAAGGCTAACATGTTTCAAATCACAATTAAAGCAATTTCTAAACCTTTCAATGTGATTTGGAGAATGTGTTGAAATATTATAAGCTTTTTAAAAATTCGACCTATTAGATCGAGAAATAGATTCAAAATTACTGTGGTCTGTGTGTTATTTCTATATAAGAATGTATACAAGGTAGCGTTCAATACACCAGAAGGTTACAAAGCAGAGCATACTATTCCACTTTAAACCTTGGCTTGAGATTATACACCAAAAATGATCTTCGTTTTAAACGTGACGTCAAACGGGCAGACAACTTCATATGAGCACACATAACAAGTTTAAGCTATTCTGTATAAAATGCACGAAGGGAGGCTACTCTATGTGAACAATAGGCAGCATGTTTATAAATACATATATGACAATTACATCTTTATGCATAGAATTTGGATGATGCCAAAGCCGAAATATACCATAAACACGAACAGTCAAGCTTTTAGATTGTTAAGGCAGAGGTCACCGAAGACACAAGAAGCTGGGCTTGCAGGTTTTCCTGGAAGTATTTAACTTATGAATCATCTCCGAATTTGTATGAGTGTTTTTGCTGCACTATAATATAATTTGGAATGTTTCTGAACACAATACAGTCGTGTGACATATTATGCATTATGCATTATGCATATTATACATTTCTACTACCTGCCGAGAACAGATTTTGATCATTTAAATAAGATTGAGGTACCTTTAAGTGGTAATGGCAAACACAATTTTGAACACAATTTTCGACGGCAAGTTTCCATACACAACTTGGAATGACGTCATGCATCTTAAATGAACCCAATGTTTCTGTGGATAACGCTGTCTACAACATCTCATAACGTTCATTATCAAGACGTTCATCTTTTAGAAATTATTTTGCGTTTTCACTCACATACAATTTTCATCAATACTGGTATAAGAAATTAAGTGAACTGTACAGTTGTGTCCCTTTCTCCAATTTGATCTGAAAATAATATCTACCCGACCATCATGGGCAACAAGAGTTCTATTCATTTTTTTTACCACCACTGTAAGTTGGGTTTTTGGTTGTCGTTGTAGGATCGCGATAAATAGGGTTTTCATCCTGGAAAATAAATGTAATTTTTACACTTAAGTATAGATATCATACGAAATTGTGAAGTTTTGGCTTTATTGACAAACGCTTATAGTCGGGGACAACCAGCTATTGATGTTAGAACTACCCGAATCAAGTGACAATCTGCATAATTATAGTACTGGCAAAAATGATTACCAGTAAATACTGTGACACATAGCGACACAATCACGATCGTATTAACATTCAAAAAATTCCGGACACATGCATTTGAAGAATCAAATTTCGTCGGTGAGTTGTAAACACTATAACTGATTAGCTTGCCAAACAAAATTCCCGTTTTCCCGGTATGATTAGTCGTACGAAAGGCGTATCCGTTCCTGTCATATTCGCAGTCAGAAATGAGATATTTCTTGTTAAACCTGATATGTGCATATCCTTAACTTACTGACTGCCATCTTGCTCGTTCTTGATCCTTCTTAAATTGAGCAAATTCTTTGGCTTCTTGCCGGCGTTTCCAACACAAAAATATCAGGATGGCTATAATTCCTGCTAATAATATGGCACCAACAATTCCTAACGCCACTGGTAACACTGGAAACTCTTCTGGACATTCTGAAACATCAAAATACACGCATTTTAAGAAAAAAAGTAAATGGTAGTACATGGTGGGTTTTGGCACAAAAGCCCTTCCATATATGAAAGAGTGGGCAAATTAACTGCACAAAATGATTCCTTAGCTATTATTCACTAGCATATTTAGGGGAAGGGGTATTGGGCCATGGCCCTACACTCAGTCCGGTGAAGTGTCTTATTTCGAAGTGAAAATTAAGCCTTCATCTCAGGCCATCTGAAATCCATTGGCTTCTGGAGTCCCCTTCCAGCCCTTAGTTCCGCCGGCACCAAGGGGCTCCAGCCCTTTGAGCCTCGCCTCGAAGAAACACCTCTCATTTTTGGTCTTTCCCTCAGCCCTTTTTTTTAGACACGCCCCTACACAGCATATACGAATTTTGAAATATAAGAGAAATCTACTCTTTGTTTCAACAGGTTCAATAGTATTGCTCTCCATACATGTTTATGGCTTTAAGGAGGTACACCTACCCTCATTTTGTTGAACTTTGATAATAACATTGATATCATCGTATTCATATGTATATTTTCTGATACACTCAGTATCTGCCTGTCTGAAGGTACAGTGAGTGATCGATGGATCTTTTCCTCTTTCTAAAATTACACAAAAAGCATTTTTACATTTGAATAAAGCATAAATCGGACCAAGATCTTATTGACGGCAACTTGAAAGGACAGAATAGCCAATTTAGGTCTTGAATATATGTAAACAGTCTTCAGAAGTAATAGAAGAGTAAAAACGAAAATCGCATAATTCTTTCAAATAAATCTCGAACTAGGAATTTCTTTTACTATTTCTATAGATGTATTTCCTATATGACAGTGTCTTAAGAAAAGACGACTCGTCTTTTTAACTTTCAAACACGGATAATTCTGGACACACATGGATTTGAAGGCTCAAATTCCAACGGGATTTGAACACTATTCCTAATTGTCTTAGCTAAAAACATAAATACCGTTTCTGAGAACAAAGAGGCCAAGATACTTTATGACAACTTAAAACACTCCGATTAAGGATTGCGCCAACATGTGAGGCAAGTTAAAAAAAATCACGCGTCCAGGCCATGCGTAACGTAAAGCAAAGATTAGCTTTTATGACCATATTTACAGATCGACAGACAGACTGCTTTTCTGCTAGAAAGTAGAACGTAAGCATGATGACATCTGCTTTGGTCGAATATATCCAGTGATCGATCAGATACTACCAGGTGCTAGCCAGCTTGTCTACTGGTTAACCAAAACTCATTCCTTGCCCTTTAGACTAACCTGCTAGATTCTGTACAACTCGTACATCTTTACAAGCATCTGCACAATATGTACTGTTATACGCGCCATCTTTAAATGCTTTACACATAGCACAGCCTCTATGTACTGTACATTTGGTTGGACATTCCTGAAATATAAGTAGTTCCTCATTACACTGTACAGACCAGAGAACGACTAATGATTCCAGCAAAACGCTCATCAAAATATCTATTAACTACAAGCAACCACGATCACCTGAATTCTCAAGGGTCAAAGATACACTTGCAACTGATGGCAACTGCGATTTGCATACCCACTCACAAATGCCGCAAGTTATAAGAATTTGCAAGTTCAAAGGTCAACCTGAGTGATCATGTATGAAAAACAATCCACTGTACATATATATGAGAAGCAATGTAGTATTAATGCTATAAATACACTCCGCTGAACACATGATGTACACATATGTGTACTGTACATTTGGCAGGACATCAAATACTCACCGGGCAATCTTCACAAGTTGGACCTCGATAATTTCCTTCTTTAAAACATGTACATCGACCACAATCACATGTTCCCTTACCATTACAGATTTCCTGTAAGAAAAATGTGTGAAATTGATCTAAATAACCGCGAGATTTGCAGAACGCACCCAACCGAAGGGAACGTGTTCCTGGTCATTATCAGGCCCTAAGCTTCAGGACAAGAAAAATGGATTGCCCCCCTGAAAGAATCCTAACAACAGACCAATTCCATTACTGCAACTGAACAATCAAGTCTGGTTACGGGCCTGATCATTCTGCAATGTTATACTAGAGGATGCTTAAAACTCACCCCATTAGATGCTATACATGTGTCATTTCTGGAGGAACAACCACAATCATCTCCTGTATAACCCGGTAGACATTGGCATTTACCACATTTACATACACCACGATTTGTACCTGAAGTATATTAAAATGGACATCTGTACAATGTGCTTTCTCGTGTGATAAAACTGAATTTCAAATGCCGCAACCTTTATTTTAATATAACTTCCCAGTTAATTCCCAGTTTTTCGCATGCATGTTTGTAGTAAGGACATTTTTTTTTATCAAACAGGGCATTTGATTGGTTGAATATTGTATAATCTAGAACTTGACATGGATAACGATTTCGTCAGATCATGAATGGAAAGAAAAGTAACTTTCAGAAAAAACACGAAGCGCAACATCCAGGTTACATATTCTCGAACAACATTGGCGCTAGGATATCCTGCAAACAGTGTTAGACAAGACCCAAGGCCATCCTACCGCTAAGATTGTATGGAGAATATGCGGCCAGATCTTCATATTAATCAGATAGATTTTGAAAATTCCGATAAAGAAAACAACAAAACACTTACCTCCGCACATCTGTCCATCATAATAATAACAATTATAATCATTACATTCACAGAATCGTCCAGAATACGTCCTGGCACTGTTCACTCTAATAGGATAACATTCACATTCTCCACAAACACATTCACCATGGTTAGAACAAACTATAGATGAATTGACACTGAAAAGATACAGAATAACAGAAAATAGATATACTATCAAACTACGCTTGTAGTAAAACTACTACATTTTCGCATTTTGGCTGGTCTGTTAAACAACGTGAGAAAAATGATGATCTCATAATGTCTGATTGGCTTAATCTACTCTAATCTAATCTGATCAACATTGGCTTGCCACCTCCCCTCACAGAAAAGAGGCTGGCCCGGATTCCCGTTATTTTATGATCTCATATCTCTTCATAAACAGTCACGTGAATTATGTGATCTTTGTTGTTGGTTTTCAAATATAACGATATTACCAATATAATTTATATTGTCCTGTGCAAATCCTGAGAGCTGATGTAATTTTGCATTGACAAGGTGTGTCCTACGTTGTAACAACGGTTCGAAATTGAACAGGCTTATGAAGATCTTTGGATATATTTATACATAGATTGTCACTAGCATTTAGGGGGACATAATCGGACCAGGGCCCGCGCTGGTGCTGGGGATCAAATTTTATACTCAGGAGATGCGAAGAATTAAAGGCCAAGAGAACTCATTTCTAACATTTTGAGGTGCCAAAAACGTATCTAAATCTATATCTTTGTACAAAGACACTGTGATTGAATCAATCTCTGCTGAACTGAAGAAGGTTTTGCTTGGGATTAATTCACATTCGCTGGTGCCCAGTCCCCAAGGACCCCACCCTAACGACGGGACTGTACAATCCTAATTTTAGATACTCACTTGGATTTACAGTTTTTGAGAGATTGTGTACTGGATAGTTCAGTTTCGTCACATTCACACTGTCTTCCATAACGACCTTTATTACACGTACATTGTCCACATTCAAATGTTCCGTTACCACTGAAACATTTCGGACTGTTCTTTTCCTAAAATCAGAATGATTTGGAATTTATAAGACTGGTCTGAAACTTTTTGGGAGAGTGTTCTCTTTACTTCTAGTGGTTCGAATTGAACTCGAAACGGGATACCTTAAAGGAGCTCCGTTCAACCAATCATACCTTAGTTTCAGAAAAAGGAATTTTCTTCAGCTTACTAAATCAGTAATGATTGTGTGTTCACAGCTTATCGTCTAAATTTGAGCCTTCAAATCCATGTGTATCCATAATTATTCACGTTTGAAATTCGACTCAAATTTTAGTGAGACTATGCCATATATAGAAAACACATATATAGGAATAGACAGTGAAATTTCTAGTTTAAGGTATATTTGAAGGGATTATGCGATTTTCATGCGTTTTAGTACTTCTTAAGACTATTACAGAATAATAAAGATCCCAATCAATGCCCGAAAATGCCGACTGTTCCCCTTTAAAATCCTAGAAATACGGTTTATACCCTCAATTTATTTTTTAAAAATTTTCTCCTGGAATGTAGTCTTCCAGATGTTACGATGGAGACTTTTGTCTATGCGCCTCAAACCAGGCGTCTGACCAAATTGGAGTTACATAGATCGACTAAGGATCACCTGCTTATGGACATCATAATCGCCAAACCAAATTTTCACTTCTCTTACCTCTTGTCCCGGCTTTTCACAATCGCACTCACAAATCAGATTAAGATCTACAGTCAGTTGTTCAGACAAACCGACCGCGCCAATGTTAACAGAACGTTGTCGTTTACCACCACAATGATTGACTTTCAAAGACACATCGAACTCGACCTCATCTCCGATCTCCAGGCCTTCACATTTGTTGGTTGTTGATAGAACAGCTCTACAATATTATATATATATATATATATATATATATATATATTATTAAATTGCAATTGGCTCCGAAAAGAACTTAAAGGGACATACGGGCCATCCGTTTGACCAATCGTACCATAGTCTCAGACACGGGAATTTTTTAGTTAAGTTAATCAGTAACAGTGTTCACAGCCCAGTGTCGAAATTTGAGCCTTCAACACCATGTGTGTCTAGAATTATCCGCGTTTAAATACGTACCCTTTACATTTTGATTTAAAGTCTATGGTAATATTTTCAGCATTCTTTGGTATGAATTCTATTCTAGAACGAAGTTTCTGAAACAGAAGAAATAGAAACTGGATTGTCACCTGAAATATTATTACCAACGTTTTGCCAATAATATGTAGTTTTGGATTTCGTGTTTCGTTTTGGGGTTCAGATCGTTAGTACTTGGTTTATTAAATGATGTAGCCAATAGCTCTCACACGTTAACTAAGTAACTGCACTTACGTCATAAGATTTCTGCACCAGACCAATAATGTTAGCGGAACCTTCCAACAGCTTTCCGATAGAAGCACCCTCTAATCTTCTAGCTAGCTGTCTGTGTAGATCATACACGTTTTCCATTACAGCAAAAATAACATTAGTACTTGTATCTCGAACTTTAGAGGCTATTTGACTCACGGATGGATAATCCTGAAAAATTGGGCAAATAGATCAAATTCTCGCCAATTGTTCATTGTCTTACAAATACAAACTGGAAGCGCACTGAACATTGCCGGGGGTAATCAAATTTCGACCACTTGAGTGGCTCAATGGAATGTTATTGGATAAAAAATAATCTGTGCAAGAAAGACAATTCCGTAGATCAAAATCTCGTCCAAAGTATGGCAAAATCGAGAGCAAAAGTTGTATAGTAGTGGAAGAGACGAGTAAGCATGGTCTGCTTTCGAGTGCGAAACCAGCCACTACTTTATAGGTCACCATCATGAGATACAATCAGACCAAACAAATCTAACGACCATACAATTTCCCATGTGTCAAGTAACCCTGCTTAAGCAATTTCAAAGTCATAACTTGACCTCTGGCCAGGAAGTCTTCATAAACGTAACAAGCCCTGGAGGTTCCCTTAAGGGGTATAATAGCATGAGAGATAAAAAAAAGACATTCCAAATACGGCGTCATATCCAAAGTGAAAAAAGAGCGGGGTTCTGCAGATGTATTGCATAGCTATAATGACCCAGATCAATACCTACCATTTTGGTGTCCCATCCAACTAAAATACCACTGCCATTTAAATGGCACATACCATCATTCGCCATTACAGCTCCACCAAGCTAAAATTTCAAAAATATGCTGACATAAGTGTATGTTACAGGTTTGAAGTTTAAAGAAAGCTGTTATAAAATTTGTCAAATGGTAACCGATATAGACTTTTTAGAACTAATCCACGTGTGTCCAGAATAACCCGCGTTTGAATGTTAAAATGACTAATCATCATTTCATTAGGCTGTACCATATACAGAAATAGTTTGAGATATTTTTGTACTTCTGAAGACTATTTACATATATTCAAGAGCCTATTCAAACCCTCGAAAATAGCGGTTCTGTCCCTTTCAAAGTTCAATGAAAGCTGTTATAAAATTTGTACTTTGGTAACCGATAGATATATTATCTAAAGGGAAAGCTAACGGGAAGAGAAAATAAACTTACGATTCCATCGCCAGCTAAATGGAACAAAGAATTCGAACTGTAGACCAAAATTCGTCTGGAACGATCTCTCCAACCAATAGCATCCTGAAAGTCAATGAAGTATACTAAGACAAATTAAAATTCTTCTCCACTAAGATCTAATTCTAAAACCTTCGATGCTAAAAAAAACACAGGTCAATTGTCAATGATAGACTTTACGGTGGCTCAACTATCACAGGGACTGGTTGAACCATGTCCACTCCAATTTCTAAGAGGCCCCGATCCTGGAAAAATTACAGGAGAGCATAAAAAAATCATTTCTGTGGAAGGAAGGCCCGACCCACGACTCACTCATCTAGTTCAGCCACTGGATCGTTATTTACCGTGACAATGTAGACCTTTCTGGTGTGTGTGTTAGATCCTTGTGATGTTTTGTAGGTACAATTCCAAGACAACATACCTCACAAGACAAGACTTGCATGATTCCATCCATTCCACCTTCAGGATCATCTAAACTCTGTGACATAACTTCTAAAGCTTTCTTCATGTTGTTCTGCAAAATCATAAAAAATCGAATTAATTCATGAGTGCTCTGGCTCTGCAGTCTTTAACGAACCGTTTTTGGTTTAGTAAAAGATAGCTCATTACCAACATATTTGCATGTGGTGCTATGAGGTAGGAGGAAGCTCACGGTAACGTATTAAGGGGGAGGGCTATTTTGCCTTTGTCCTCTCCTCACGCCTATGTAAGGTATTAAGTTTGAAGTGAAAATTAATCCCTCTAAATTCTCAAAATTCATCTCAGACTATCTGAAATCTTTTGGCTTCTCGGGGCCTTTTAGCCCTGAGTTACCCGGAGAGACACCTCATTTTGTGGTCTCCCCTTCAGGCATTTTCTAGTTACACCTTTAGAAGCTCATGGTGGTCAGTGGCAGTCCCATGAAAGCAGAAAGGATCATTCTTGTTAGGAAGGTCCATTTATCAATTGCAGCAATGGATGAATATTTGTAGCTAAGAATTGCTAATTGTCAATAGCAGATATTGATTTGTTGCTATGTTTAGGCGATACAAAAAGGTCTGCTTAAAAACAAAACATTAGGATTCAAACCTTGAATATTTCCTGATTTTCTGTAAGTTTTTGTTGATTTTGAAAGTCAAATGGATATCTACAACCACTTTTTACTTGGCAACGGTTTTGTAACCTGGAATTGAAACAGCAAAATAAGAGGCACGTGCCCACACTAAGGATCAATGGTTGCTCATGTCATATTTGGTTGATTTTGGTCTTTAATATATGCAAATAGTCTTCAGAAGTAATACAAATGTACGAAAATCGCATTATTCCTGAATAATACCTCTAACTAGGTAATTTGCTTTCTATTTCTATATATGTCTTTTGTATATATTACAGTCTCAAGAAAACATGAGTCGTCATCTTAACTTTCAAACCCGTATATTTCTGGAAACGCATGAATTGAAGACTAAACTTTCTACAGTGAGCTTTGAGCACCATTTCTGATTAGCTTAGCTAAACAAAAATCCCCCTTTCTGAGAGTAAGGCTACCTTTGAAATAAGCGTGTTTAAAAGTTATTTCCCTTGCCATGTGAAATTTGTTCATTACACAAAGCTAAACCAGGAGATTTCGACAGTTTCTCCAGCCACAATACTTACTATTTCGTGATCCCCCCTAAAAAATAACAGTTTCAAAAGTACAACTCAGGTTGAAACTTTGTTACACAGAAGCCTACTTACATCTCATCTGTCCATGGTATAAAAGGCATAGCAGCTTTATCGACAAAATTACCAAAACCAAGTCGGAAGTTTTTTGTGATTTTTGACATACTGGCACCTAAAATAAAAAGGGGCAAAAATGAGAGGCCGGAGCACCTTGAGACCAGAGGTTTTGTGGTTACTTAAGGCCCATAGAAGCCAACAGTTTTCAGATGGTCTGATATGATACCTGTCAGCCCTCCCTTATCCTTAAATACGCCACTGGCTCTACGCGTTACTTTTCAGAACTTTAATCCAACATCAGATTCACTATTCCAGTGTTCAATTACATATCGCAAAGTGGCATCAGGTGTTCCGAAAAACTGATTCTGAGCCTCGATGATTATATTCTTTTATATTTCAAACGTACCCATTTCATCGGCTAAACTAACCAGCCGAGTTTGAGCATCTTTTTCTCGGATCATAGAATATGACATATCCAATAAGAAATATAAATCTACAGGATAATTTTCAGCTTGACGAAATTTTAATTTTAATTTTACTTCTTGATCTGAAATATATAATTAACATGAAAAAATTAATTTAATGTTACAAATCTAAAACATTATATACTATTAAACATAATTTTATGAACATAATATTATAAAATATAATTATGAACATAATATTATAAAATATAATTATGAACATAATATTATAAATACAATTATGAAGATGATAATGATTATAATTGTGAACATAATATTATGAAATGTAATTATGAACATAATATTTTGAAATATGATTATGAACATAACATTATATAATATTATTATGAACATAACATTATAAAATATAATTAAAAACATAACATTATAGAATATAATTATGAACATAATATCATATAATATTAAAGATCATAAAACATTCTTAACCATTATATAATATGAAATATAATTATGAACATAATATCATAAGACATATTAAAAGTATTTTATGGTATAAAACATTATTAAATATTACTAAAAACATTATATGATATATTATATAATTATGAACATAATATCAATAATATATTGAATATAACAAAGTATTTTTAAACATTACATATCATGTATTATGAACATAATATTATGAAATATTGAATATCACAAAATATTCCAAAATATTATATAATATAAAATATAATAATGAACATAATAAATAACATCTGGAAGTATACTATGTGCTAAAGCATATTTAGCGATTAGTGCTGTCACCAAACACTTAGTCTTAGTGGCATTGCAGGAATGGCAGACGTCTGACAGAAATCAGAATGTGTCCAAAATAAAAATACATTTGTAAGAAAACCTCTTTACAATTCCTTCAGGCTTACTGAAAATTTGTGATATGATAACTTACTTGGACGGACATTAAGTTTGATTTTCTGGGGTTGGACTTGTATAGGATCTTGTCCTTTATCTCCACCTTGTACTCCTTCATTCTACAATATCAAAACATTTAGAGTGTAGTCAGGACCACAACTACAGGGGGCAAAACAATGACTGCAACTAAACACTATACACCTTCGCATATATGACCGTCTTCATTTGCCCACATGGTGCAGATAAGTATAACGTAAACCTCGATTCTTTTCAATTCATTTCGGATATATGACTTAAAGTCAAGGTACGGACCAGGATCTGGCATATTGTCTTTTAATAACAGTATTGTTTCCGACTATCGTTCCGTTGCGGTTGTCCCTTATATCCTTGTTTCTCCCAGTTTTAGCTCTCCGTGTTTTGACTCCACAAGATTGACTCACATACCCGGGACTTGTATTGCCTTGACTCACCACCATCCAAGTTTGGATTTTTCCATTATTGACTCACCTGAAGAAGATCTAACTTATACTGTGGATAGACTATTTTATCTGTAGGACAGGAACCAGTGGCTACAAAATGATCATACGGCTCACATCGTGACTCATGCTTTGGGAAAGTCTGAAACAAACAGTGTTTAACATGTGAAATAATTCAGTACAGATAGATCAGGAAAACTGATTGACGAGTTTGTAAAGGGGAGCTCAAGTCGATCTTGTGATGTTGGGATCCGAGAGCAATTGGATTTTCAACGTCTGCTTTAAGCGACGAATGGCTTTCGGATGCACGGATAACAACTGGTCGTGTTCTTTCTTTCTTGCAAAAAATACATCTTGTCGTTGTGATCTATCTAAATCTTTGACCATTTACCCTATCACAGTTGCCTGTAGTTGGTATACTTGTTTGATAGTGATGCTGTATGTTTCCCCAATATACAAAAAACCTATTCACAGTCCCTTTATACAGGTCGTTATACTAAGATAACTAAGGTCTTAGGAGGGGGGGGGGGGGGGTGTAAATGTTCAAACCCATACAGAAACACCTCTCATCTTTGGTCCGTCCTCAGATATTTTCTAGATAAAACTTCTACTTATCGTAAGGTTATTCGGAGTTAGTTCCCTTACCTCATCAGGGCACCAGGCACAAACACTGGCTGTTTGTATACATTCACCACACGTTTTAACATTGGCACATGGATTACTTGATAATCTGGCAACTAGAAAATATAAAAATACACACAAAATGAATATATGACAGTGGTAATAAATCATGAACTTGCATACCAAACATCATTAAGTTAAAGGAATACTACATTTTAGAATGGATATAAAACCAGGTGTCATGACTAAAGAATAGAATCTCTATATAACACAATATATCCATTAAACTAAATAATTACTTAAAAACGCTTCTAAGCATGTTTTAAAATTACTTAAGTTAATGGATTATTACTTAGTTTTATGGATTTATTGGACTATAGGGAGATTCTGTTATATAGTTATGACACCAGGTAAGTCCACTGACATTCATTTTGGACAAGTTTGAAAAATTTAATTTCTTTGTCATCTTAAGATGTAGTATACCTCTAACTGTTTCTCTTGATTCATACTTAGGGGTACAGGAGAAACTTCTAGGACAATTTAATTTTTTTATTAGCTTCAGAATAAGACATCTTTGTTCACAGTACATACAATCTGCTACATCTGGTCTTTGTACTTTGATTAGGGTTCTTTTGGAGTATGAGTCCAAAAGGATTGAAACCAGGACTTGAAGGGGGTAAATCTCATAGAAAGGCGGTGTAGGATCCTTGTGTGCAATTGGGGATTAATGATAATCTTGCAAAGTATGCAAAGAAAAGGGACAGATTCGTCATTTTCGGGTGTTGTTTTGGGTCTTAAATATATGTATATAGTCTCCAGAAGTACTAGAAATGTACATTAATCGCATAATTCCTGAATTTATCTTTCGATTTCTTAACATGTCTTTTCTTTGGCAGTCTCTCAGAAAAAATGAGTCGTCATTTTGACACTTAAACACGGATAATTCTGGACACACATGGAGCTGTGAACACTATAACTGATAAGTTTAACTACAAACATCCCGTTTCTGAGACTACAGTAGATGGCGCTTCTGTCCTTTAAACATGCCTTGTCCCAATAAAATGGAATATGAAAAATATGACTTACTTTGTTGATTTGATGTATATATACATGATAACAAAACAATAACAATAACAAATGTCTTCATCTCAACCTTAAAGATCTGAAAATAAAAGATTAACTATCAGTGGTTTGATAGATTAACGTGTTTAACAGTGGTTTGGTAGTTTACGTTTTTATCAGTTGTTTGGTAGATTTACGTTTTTATCAGTTGTTTGGTAGATTTACGTATTTAACAGAGGTTTGATAGATCTACGTTTTTAACAATTTTTTGGTAGATTTGCGTTTTTAACAGTTGTTTGGTAAATCTACGTTTTTAACAGTGGTTTGGTAGATTTGCGTTTTTATCAGTGGTTTGGTAGATTTACGTTTTTAACAGAGGTTTGGTAGATTTAAGTTTTTTAACGGTGGTTTGATAGATTTACGTTTTTAACAGTGGTTTGATAGATTTCCGTTTTTAACAGTGGTTCGATAGACTCGCGTATGTAACAGTGGTTTGATAGAGTTATGTTTTTAACGGTGGTTTGATAGATTTACGTTTTTAACAGTGGTTTGATAGATTTCCGTTTTTTACAGTAGTTCGATAGATTTACGTTTTTAACAGTGGTTCGATATATTTACGTTTTAACAGTGGTTCGATAGATTTCCGTTTTTAACAGTAGTTCGATAGATTTACGTTTTTAACAGTGGTTTGATAGAAAGTTAATAATTCTCGTTTAAAAGTCCATATTGACTGATAGAGGAAACTGTCCTCTATTAGATAATTAATACTAGAATATCTTAAAGAAGATAACGAGCAGTTGTTATTTAAAGATTTCCTCATTATAAAATCAATATTTCCTTCATCCTGTCATCTGTCTGTTATTTAGAGCAGCGGTTATTTATAATACATGGCTATAGACTATCTTACTTTTCAGATATTCGGGCCGAATAACTCGTCTTCATTTGCTTTAAGTACACTTTATGAAATTTCTAAGTCGAATTGCTCCAAACCAAGGTTTCCTTTGCTAACCCTCCAACTAGATACACAGGGGTAGCTCACTTTTAATCGTCTGTTTGTCCATCTCCTTTTTCACAGCAAACTTTTATCACTTATCATGGGATAACAAACTAACATCTGACGCATTGGACCATTTTTGATTATAATGCTTTCCAGATCCAACGAATGAATATTTTCTAGTTCAAGTCAACTCAAACCAACTCAAACCCTTTAATGTTATACCACAAATCAACAGGGACTCGAGAACAAATACCATTATGTCTTTCTCAATAAATATGTTTATTCATGTGATATATAAAAAACAATCAGAACCGTGCCAATTGTCCAGATTTCCCAAATCAACAAACCAATATATTGGAATTAGTCCGAGGAACTTTGAAGATCATCAAAGGGGATAAATCAATTTGGTAACATTTACGTGCTTGAAGTTGACGAAAAGTAAGCCATTGAATATCACCTACTGTCTGAGCAAATACAAATTTTTGGGTTTTTTTAATTGTTTCGACATTTTTAAGGAGAATTGGAATATCGTCCTCAAAATAGTACTGATAGTCTTAGAATGTCTTTGCGTTGATGAAAATATGATCTTTTGTAAGTTTACATTGAAATGAAACACATTTCTCTCCTAGAAATTTCCAAACCAAAAAGTAAAAAATAAATGGCTGAAAATTGGCTGAAAATTTTTACTGTGGTCAGACAATAACTTTGGATAAGAAATTATAACAGTACAAAGCACATTTGTTCCCGAGGATTTACATAATTTCATCATCTACAGCCAGCCGAAGCGTCAGCTGGGGTACAAATAAGGAGCATACTGACAAGTGTCAGTTCCAACTACCAACTACCACGACTACCAACAACTACCTAGTTTGCGATATCAGCAGCGAACGTTAACTTGTCATCTTACCTACCCTACCTACAAGTGTGAGTCAGTCAAATCTGGAGCAAGCTACATGAAATCATAGACGAAAATGACATATCAATATATCTATACATATCTACGTAATGAAGACCATAAAGTAAATATTAATCATTAATAGATTTGGGGCAATCTGCCACATATTTTGAGACAAAAACGTATACAATTCATATTAGAAAAAATTTTTATTTTTGAGAGTGGGGGTCATTTCTCAAGGGTGCCAAATCCTATTATACCCCTACTGGTGCCGTCACTGCCTACAGCTCGAGCAGCTTTTCACGATTGGATTTGCAAAAGTTAGTGGTTAAAAAAAACTTATTGTGTGGTTTCTCCGAGTGGGACTGTTAAGCACAGTCGCTGGAAGGCATCAAGTATTTCAAACATTTAACATGCTCTGTATCACTGCAAACAATCACATCATTACTGTACATGCAGCCTCTCGGACTACTAGTCTCGATCAATAAAAACAATCGTTGTAAAAGCTTTGTGAATTATCAATGAAAAGGAAAACTATGTTGTAAGAGGAATTCAAGTGGCATAATTATCATGGAAACAAGCCTGGAATTCTCGAAGAGTTATAATAGTCTTTGTTTTTGGAACCAACAAACTGTTCACACATTGTAGTCTAAGTTTGATTTTTTAAACAGATTTAGGAACAGCTTCTGATGTAAAAATGTGAATTGCTCGTAATAATATCCATATTTTGGTGGGTTTAACGGCAAAACTATTATAAAGGTTTACGTAAACTTCATTTAATTCGTTAATGCTTTTTGGAAAACTACTTGGCGGATTTAAGTAAAATAAACACCTAATTTTAGAGAAATATGTTTCCTACGTATTGTATGTTTTAACTAATGATATCGAGTCGTTATAATGCCAAACACCAAAACTAGTCCAAACTGCTTAATTAACAATAAGTACTTTTTATTCCGTTTTTAATTAACCTTTTTTAAAACAAATTCAGTTTGATCAAGAAGATATATAGATATAAATAACATATTTTAGAAATATTTTCAGGTATAATTTACCACGTGTTTGATAATGAGAATTGATCACGCTGCCTCTTTAAAAACATCAAAAAATGTGCCATTCCAGAATAAATAACGATAGTTATTATTGAAAGAGTCATGGTTACATCCATTGGTCATTGGTATTGCTTTAACCTTTAAGTTCAAAATTGTCAATGAAAAATATAAAGCACTACTGGACACAATCGACAGCAATTCAACACAAACATAAATCAGACTTCGAACACTTTGGGTCATGGGAGAATCTCTTTAATCTAGGAATTATTCCGACCTATTTCGGACGTCTGTTGTTCATTATATAGATTGACCATTGGTCAGACAATAAATGACCAATTAATCAACGTTCTGTTGGAAGCCTCTGGTTATTTTCATAACAGACAATGTAATAATGATTTTCCAATTATTTTCATGCCGAAAACATAATTGGTTGTCGGTCTCTGTCTATTTTTCATGGAATGTCGAAGTAAAGACATTGGAAAGTTTTAGAATGAGCAAACCAAGTGCTAACGATCCGAACCACAAAATGAAACCCGAAATCCAAACAACATATTGGCATGAACTTTTCACATGTAGAAGTATATCTATCATAAGTCAGTAAGTATTTCATAATGTAAAGTGGTATCAGGTGTATAGAAGAGTATTCATCAATATGGACTAACTTAACATGGGTAACATGCGAGAGTTATGGTCAAAACAGACCCAAGACAAAACTGATGTAGCCTCTGGTCAGAACTGACCTAAACTGAAAGACTGAATCCCATGCCCCAAAACGGCTTTAGAAGTTAAGACCCTGGGATGTCCTAGCGCTAAGATCGTTTAGAGAATATCGGGCCTGTAGTCCAGAAATTGTAGTGGCCTTATTTGGCAAGAGTTCTGAATGCATCTGGGCTATCTATATCAACTTATGTACGTGATAGCTGGATATTTAATGATCAAGTGTTGCAACAAATGAAATATTATCTTAATGGTTACGGTTACCCTATATATATGACTCATTGTGGTTCATGGTTCAACCAGCCCCTGTGATCCGAAATCATAATGTTATATCTTTAAGATGTTGAAATGTGAAAAAAATCATCCCTTACGTCATAAAGTAATAGGTTATGCCACTATGAAACCCATTAAGTGACCCTATATATTGACCAAAGCTAGCTCTAAGTGGTGC